TTTCTTTACAAATAAAAAGGCCTAACCAAATGCAGAATTTACAGTTTGAAAACATATGGTTGCTTCTCATCCCAAGACTGGTCATGCTCAACACGGTACTATTACCCCCATATTTACTGAATAAAAAACTAAAGTACTAAATTGTGAGACCATACAACACAAGCATATTGAGGATTTTCAAGAGATTAACAGCATCCCCTAAAACAACAACCAGCTTTAAGTACAGGATGACATTTACCTGACAGCAGCACCTGAAGGCACTAGGTATGCTCAGTATTTTAAATCATATGAAATCTTAAACTGACTCTGTTCAATCACATTATCCGTAAGTGCAATGTTTTCCTCATTCACTAAGGACATTAGCATTGCTGCAACATTATCCAGGGAATTCTTTCCTTCTGCTGCATCTGTGCCATCAACAACTCACCACACTAATCTGGGCACCCCTATTCTTTTTATCTCCAATCTCCTCACATCCTGAAAACTGAAAGGTGCAGACACTCCAGCAAAGAGTAAAATAAACCTGTGAATTCCAAGGACATAATGAAGCCAATGACCTGATGCTTTGAATGATGAGTGATTAAAATATACAACAACAACTGGAAGGAAAACAGATTTTAGTAAATTGTTTAAAAAACTCATATATAAGTAGCTAACAAGTTCTAATGATAGAAGAGTCCATGTATTACTACAGATCAGTATTGAAAAAAATATACATAGCATCATCTCTGGAAACACATATTTTTAAAACATTTAACTTACAACTGAGTGTAACTGGAGAAAACAAATATATGTTAATAAACTTTGTTACTAGCTTAGGAGGTTAGAAGAATAAGACAGACATAAAACTGGCCAAACCTTTTACCTGCAGGTAAGCTCCAATAAATATGGGAAAAGTGTAAATGAATCAAAATAATTGCTTTTAGACTGAGTCTCCAGGGAAGCTCTGTCTAGATCTTAAAATTAATTTATACTTTTACATGACTACTGTTGCTCTATTCTACATATCAGACGTGTTAATTTCTAAAGTGAAATAAACTCTTGCCTAGCAGTTGCATATGTTCAGTTGTATGCAAGCTGTATTGCTAAAAAATTTCTGATTTTTAAAAAGAATACATGACTGGAATAACTTGGTCCTTTTCATTGTATATAAAAAGTGACACAAGATTAGTACATTTTCAAATGTAAAATTTTTTCACAGAAAGCCAAACAACATCCTAATTAGCAAGATGATTTCTAACAAAATAAATTATTAAAATGCAGCACCTTTTAAAACAATTAATGAAAGATGTTTGAAGCAAATAACCCAACTTCATACCTTTCTTAAGAGATAACAGATCTACATCTGGATTTTATCCTCATCAACTGACACGAAGGTTAATCACTTTCTCATTTAATTTGGGTTTTTTTTTAACAAATTATACTTTTACCCTTTCCTCAACTGAAAAATTAAAAGCACATTCCCCATAAAAAGTTTATTTTGTTTAGTGAAAATGTATACAGAAGACTGCTAACACTGCCCAGTGATCCTTCAAAGACAAGTCTGGTGAGCTTAGAAGAGGAGATAAGATAAAAATGCAGAAGGCAAAAATTTTTTTACAAATTTAGTTTGTCAAATCATCAAAATTATGTCACCAAATTTCAAGCTCAGAAATTCTTAGTCACATGTGAAACACAGAATTGTGATTAAATAATCCTTTAAAAAAATCATATGAACTGGAAATTGTATGGAACACTGAAGATGACAAGCAACAGCAGATGTTGTCATTATACAATAAGGCTGGTGCACACATAAAGCATGCTCTGCACAGCAACATTCAAGACACTCATTTTCAATAGGTTCTCATGAATTCCTCATGACACATAAAAATCCATTTTAAAGAAATGAAAGTATTTTTCCTAAATATGAGTCAGATAAAAGTCCTACCTACAGCACTTTCTAGAAAGTTTAGAAACGGGAAGAACAGAGACCATAAATTTACAGACTTGTGAACAGAAAGCTCACACTTACTATGTTGGCTACTGATTGAAGCAAAGCAATATTCTTTCCACTTTTCTCAGATTATATCAAATTAAGACTACTACAGTGCCTCTTACCTGGGCAGAGCAGTTTGCTATTTACAGCAGCTGATTTTTCTTTTTTTTTTTTTTTTAAAGCTTCTAAAAGTACCCATATGATGACCAGCAGTGACAAAAGCAGCAGTCTATGCCAAACCATTAAATAACGCAAATAAAAAATTTAAGCAAAGACACTAACTAAAAGCTTGATTTGTTTTTGTACAAGATGCTGAAAAACGTTAAAATAAAAAAAAAAGAAAAGAAGAAAAACTTGAGACAGATATGAGAGTCTGAGACACAACACAAAGCTCTCACAAACAACCACACCACTTCCTAAAGGCTTCTATCAGGTGTGCTGTTAAGACTCTTAGTGAAGCGTATGTTAAACCAAAGAATAAAATAAGCCAGGAATTTTCTTGCAATTTTCTGCATTTTGTGTTCTGTAGCTGGAGAAGTGAAAACCTGCTTATTCCTATCAAGATGAAATTCTCCTAGTCCACATGATTCAACATTAGGGAAAGGTACAGTTATGGCACTCTAGTGAGAAAATACTGTCCATGACACCTTAAGGAAACACAAGGGCAACTATTAATGCTATAATATCTCTGGCAAAGCAGCATGGACACCAGCTATTTATCTGGGTATTGCTGATGCACATGGTTACAAAATTTACCTTAAACTACATCCTTCCCTGCTTTTTTCTTCACTTTAAAATTGGGTTCATTCTGTGAACAGTTCCTAGGAATTTCAATAAATTCATCTGGTGACAGAATCCAACAAAACCAACCCAACTTTGAGAAGAAACTCTCATTTCCTCCTCTCTGTGCACAGGATACTCTTTCAAATTCACACTCTTGTACACTCTGTAGCTTCTAATCTCATTGAACTACTTTGTTACATTTTTTTAAAATAGTTATACTTAGATTTATATTTCTTATCATTAAGTCTACAGACTCTAAAAATAACATGTGAAACAGGATAATGAATACACCATTGAGAGAGACCAGCATATAGTGTTTCTGGAAATATTTGCCTGAGTTGTAGCAGGAAGACAAATTCAATCCCAGAGTCTATCACCTCCTAATGACATTTCCTTTAGTTATTGGAAACACTAGTCATACACAAAAATGAACATCACTACAATAAGGTCCTACACGTCAGAGATCTCAGTAATATTATGATTCCAAAATCATTTGAGTATCTTATTATTTCAATAACTTGCTGTGTCAGGCAAATGGCTTAACACTGTTAGTCTAACTCTATAAATTTACGTGAAGTCTATAATTTTTTCGAGTTACCGCTTAAAATGAAACACACTGCACACAAGGTTCCATGCTGACTCACTCAATGAATGTCTATGTCGGCACATAAATGATTCTCTTTTCTTCCTTACCTCCAGATGCTCTAAAATATAGGGAGGGTTTGTCATGCCAAGCCTCAGCATAGCTCCCTCAGGAATAACTTCAACCAGCTTCCACAGAAGGGTGGGGAGGTCTGTGCCAATGTCTCTGCCATAAGCCCCTGTGTCTTCACTGGTCAGCCATATCTCACAAACACCCTCTGCGAATAAAAGAAAGAGATAATTAACAAATCTGTTTTAGAGCTGTTTATTTTATCATACAGCTGCTCACTCTTTTAAATGCACTATTTCACAAGGCTATTATGCAGCCAGACTGGATATTCAATTGCAAGGGGGAGGGAAGGAGAAGGAAGGCTTATCCCATGGGTAGCAGTGGGTTATTAAGTTCATTTTATGAGCACAAGAGTGCTACAACAATGCTGTAAATTATCATTGCTGTGGAGTGATTAACATTCACAGCCAATGACTAATTCTGTGCTGCCTCTACAGCAAGTCAGTCAAGTTTAGTACTCTATCCTATTTTTTGAGCTTAATTCATTAAACACCACAAGTGACATTACTCAAGTAGAGTTTGCATTAATGGTTATTACTAGCAGTTAGCTTATTAACTGGTAAGCTTCCAACAAGCAAATGCAGCTCTAAAGCACTGTGATTAAGGTTCCTCCTAGAATAAATATTAAAAACTTGTATTCTTTAAATTATACAATTAGCAATGCAATATCAAGGTTGTATTGAAAAGGTTAGTGACCACTGAATGATAGTACAGGAAAACCTGCTTCCTGGCAGTTAATGCTTTTTTTCTCCATCAGTCAGAGCCTCTGGAAGCAGTATATTTGATTTATATTGTAAATAGCAACCTTGAACACTGATATGTGGTAATAATATCCTCCTACTCAAAGAGGGGAAAGATTGTACCACCCTTTAATAATAGTTGAAAGGAATAAGGTTTCATGCAGCCAATTCTACTGGTCTGCGCCGCTTTCATCCTTTTTGCATTGCAACCCCTCTCCCCTTTCCTTATCACCCCAGAGCAAGAAACAAGCCACCGAAAACAGGATGTCTGTGAGGAATACACCTGTGATTCCTAGCCAGATAAGATACCATTAACTCAGTGAAGAGTTCAATTTCTAAAACAACTGATGAATTGGTAAAGGACACATCCAAACACCAGAAGGTGCATAATTCATCAAAGAATTCTTTAGACCAGCAGAGAATGTATCATAAAATGTATATGTTTATGCTACAAATATATACTTAAGATGAGGAAAACATAAACATGTACATAGACTTTAATCACATAAAATGTAATAAACCTAGAAAACCAGATGTTTTACAAAATGCAAACTCAAGACTGCTACTCTTAAACTCACACCGTAACAATAAAGGCAGAGAACAAGCTTTGCTAAACATCAAAGTTAATCCTGTTTGTACGGAAAGGTTTTCAAGGTCACTTATTATTTAGAATCAAAAAACTCATCAATTTTTAAGTTTAGCTTCCTGAATTAGTCAGTAAGAGAGATGTGTAATTCTGATCTTGTAAGAAGTCTGGTATAAAGCATTCCTGAAGTACTAACTTCTCCTTGGTTGTCCAGTTGCAGTCACAATTTTGTAGTTCCTCTCAAACTGAGCTCCCCATGCAGAATCTACTAGCAGTACACAATCACACAGTGGATTCTACTGCACATACTCTAGGGTTTGCTGCCTGCCCTGCGTTTTCCTGAAATGGAAAAAAAAATGACTTGTATATGCTATATGTTAAAAAGAAGAGAAGTGTAAAGGATGTAAATGATTGCTAAGGTCCTGTTACATTTGGTTTATTTTTGAGTCTCCAGTCTGCACTTCAAAACTGTTATTTATTTGCTGAGTCTCTACTGTCACAGAGTAATTCTCATTTGTAAGCTTTCAACCTAAGGAGTTGCGGGGGTTTGGATTTTTTTTTTTTTCCCCCACATGAAAATGGCTAATGGAATACTGCCTCACAGTTACCTGATGAACACTGAGGAAAAAATAATAAATCACTGGCTAGGAATGGAAATAACATTCCGGTGGAAAACAACAGTGAGCTTTTAAAGCTGCATAGGTGGGGACCATTAGCCCCCTGGTGGGCTGAAACTTCAAATTAAATCACAAGAAGAGGAAGCAGCTGTAATAGTAAATCAGCAACAACAGGAATAAATGTCTCATCTGCTCTCCGATCAGGGTGTTGAACAACAAGCAATGGGAATAATTCATGCTGAGAGAGCCAAGGACGTAATCTTAATGTGGGGGAGGGCAGGGAGGAGAAAGGACACCTGTATTTTAGGAGAATGTTCATGTCCCAATTTCAGGTTGACAAAATGGATCTTCAAATACTGAAAGGTGCTGTGAGTGATAAGTCTTTACAAGCAACGTAAACCAAATTCATGCAAAACTGTATGTGATAGAGGTTTTATGTCAACTGTTTTTAGGCTGTTTATTCTAGTCCTTTGCATCTCAGTTTAGGAGTCTAACATTACACCAGGTAAGAGGAGAAAATAACAGACCTCTCAACCAGCATTAATGAAGTCAACCAATAATTCCAATAATTCCTATTTTCACTTCACCCTGTTGCCCTCCAAACTTCAGCCCTAGGCAGAATTCTTTTCCTTTCTTTTGCAGCGAACCTCACTCGATCATTCACCATTCTGTCACTGGGTAATTTTGGTGCTAACAAAGGCAAGCTGATTTTGTAAACAAGAAAATTGATCCAAACGGCAGAGTTCAGATGTGCAAACTCAGAGCATTTGTTACAGTATTAAGGCCAATTATCATTATAGCCAAATAATTACAAGTCTGCCTTTGGTCACAGCTCGTAGTTTATTTCTCACCCTGCCATCACTACCCAGCACAAAAGAGAAACCTCAATAGTTGGCTTCTGATCTCTGCTCAGCTGTAATCAGAGGTGACTGAGAATGAAAAATACTGGAAAAATAATAGGTTCCAAGGAACTGAAGGAAGTTCTGAGCCTATTTCTTCTCCAATTCCCAATATAAAGAATACTCATAGCAGATTATCTGACATGGGTTTGAACTTCACTTATATGGGGTAAACAATCCTTGTCATAAAGAAGATAAATCCTACAGTTATCACTTTTATGAGATACGTGCATATCTGTTTCAGAGACCACTTGAAATAAATAGTTTCTCTAATAAAAAACTTCCAGCATTTTTATTTTGCTTTATCTTCATGTCACTATTGTAAACACTCTTTTCAGTGGTACCAAACATCCTTTAAACTGAAGAGAAACCTAGTCCATCTGAAAAATTAATTTTCTTCAATCTACAAAAACACCTGAAGATGTTAAAATATTGGACACTTATCCCAGTGAAATTCTCCTATTTGTTAGCCTGCTCTACCTTTGTACAAATTACATTCAATACCCAAAGCCCCTTCTTTTTTATTTCTCCTTCCCTTCATTCTCTTCTTTCCCGGCAGAGTTTCTAATGCGAAGAGGAGTGGCTTTTCCAACAGCACAATGCTCTGCAGGCTGCCTCAGTGGGAGGCCCCTGAATCTGACCTTCTCAGTAGCCCACATATGCTTATCAATAACTGCCTGACCTCCTTGCAATTCTTCTCGAACAGTGAATTCTTATGGCAGCCTGCAGTGCTGTACAGACCCAGAAATACCTCCCCCACTGCACCACAGAAATCTTATAGACCATCTGCCAAGGGGAGGCCTGACTTCAATGTTTGTCAAAAACTGCTTGCAGGCTTGAGGACAATCAATCTGACCATTAGAATCTGACACCCTTAGAATTATTAAAAAAAATTATTAAAAAATATCATAGCCAAAGACAGAGAAAAAGGCTCGGGAAAAAAAATTCTTTTGAAACATGCTCATTGTTCAGAATGAGCTTAGCCCACATTAATTTATTTTGCCTTCAATTATCTGAGTTTCCCCTTCTTTACTCAGTGTGGATTTTACAGGTACTACTTACATACTTGATGCAGTGCATGTGCTAGATTACTTCGCTGAATGAGTGCCTTAACTGGGAAATTGTGAAGGCATCTGTGCACAAAGCATATCACTGTATCAACCTGAATATAATGCAAATTTAAACAGAAACTGAGATTTGGAGGAATCAAGTTCCTCCTATAATTCTGAAGTACTCTGCAAGCATTGATTCACCATGTTAGACCCCTCCTCTTAAGACAGCCAGTTCAACCACACAGATCAGCACTGAAGCATCTCATTGCAGAAACCTACTGAAAGAGAAAATCAAGGGAGCAACTCACTGATGCTAATAGAGGTTTAGAAGGATTCATTTCCAGTTCATCAAGAAACCCTCATTTGATCTGTATATATACAGGGCTTCTAGAGGAGAGAGAGAATGGAGTTAGACACAGTCCTGTACAAACTCACCCCAGTTACTCAGGAAGTAACTCACACCTAACTGTCACAATTGGAAACTACAGGATATCTGTCAAGTAGATGACAAAAGAAGCAGATTGAAGAAAAAAATACAGATCTAGGTACAGAGCTGGTGAAAGACGCAAGCTGTCAAGCCTGAATTTCTAGAGGATCTTTATTATGTCAAAAAATATTTCCTCTTTTCAAAAGATCTATCTTTTCATCATTTTGGACAGTCTTAAGGACATGAAAAATGATTATGCACTCCTGTTTTCTTAATGCTTGCCACAAACAGGAAAACAAGATCTGAATGACATTTACAAATGTGGGCTGACCTACTGGAATGCAATGCTTGGAGAAACTACTAGATCCCAAAACTCCCATTAAAAGAGAAAGTTTAGCAAAATGAAGGCTGGCCTAACCAACCCTTCACATCACAGGAGGAAGCAACGGCTGGTTGAGCGGCCAAGAAAGGCTGTTCAGAATTAGTGCACTTCAAAATGAGGACCAGAAAAATATTTCTCTGAATTTTTGCTATTAGACTCATAATCAAGAATTTTAAAGTACCTCTTTAATAACATATATTGATCTGAAGCATTGATTAGTATTACATAAGGACCCACTACACAGAGTGACTTAATCTAAAAGCCTGAAAAAATTCCACTTTATGTGGTCATCAGGAAAGACAATTCTGTACACACAGTGAGAATTTCTTTTCACTGGATCACAGAATAGCTTAGGTTGCAAAAAACCTCTGGGGGTCATCTAATCCAATCTCCTGTTCAGATCAGGTCCAATTAGATGAGATTGCTCAGGCCCTTCTGCAGTTGCATTCCGAATATTTCCAAGGACAGAAATACCACAGCCACTTTGGGTAATCTGTTCCAATATTTGACAACCCTATGGGTAAAATATTTTTATTTCCACCTAATTGCAATTTCCTGTGTTCCAACTTGTCCTGTTACCTCTCATCCTATCTCTGCAAGGTCTGTCTGACTACAAGACAGTCTGGCTCTGCCTTCTCCATACCCTCCCATTAGGCAGTCATAAACAGCAATAAAATCTCCTCTTAGCTTTCTTTTCAAAGGCTCCACAAATGCGTTTCTTGTGTGCTATGTGCTCCATCCTCCTAATCATTTCAGTGTCCCTCTTCTGAACTGCTGCAATATGTCAGCAGCTTTGTCCTGGGGCGTCCAACACTGGACAGAGCACTCCCTCTGTGAGATCTCATAACTGCCAAGTACAAGGCACTAGTCACTCCCCAGGGCCTGCGGCTGTATTCCGGATAACAGCATCTAGGGCAAAGCTCATAATTGCTCAGGAGTTCCACTGCTGACTCATGTTCACCAGTTTGCCCAGTGGAACTCCAAAGTCTGCAAAGCTGCTTCCCAGACGGTCAGCTCTCCACATCCACAGTGCAGCATGGTGTTACTTCATCCTAGATTCAGGACATTTTACTTGACTTTGTTGAACTTCATGAAGTTTACAGTCAGTCCATTTCTCCAGGCAGTTGAGGTCCTTTGCAATAATAGCCATACCCTCCAGACAGTCAAGTACTCCCCTAATTTGGGTATCATCTCCCAGATTCCTCAAAATGCACTCTATCTCCCTCTCCACCTTAATAATATAGACAGGAAATACTGGCTCCAGTATCAATCCCTGCAGAACACCATTAGTATCCACCAGCTAGACTTTATACCTTGGATCACTACCCTGGGAGCCTGACAGTCCAACCAATTCCTTCAGCCACCTTACCATCCACTTATCCCATCCACATCTCACCGATCTAAGAATATTGTGGGAGACTATGCTGAAGTCATAGCTAAATTCAAAGTAAACAAACCAAAACAAACCACACTAAAAATAACCAAAACAGAAAACCCCAGAAGAAGACAAAAAACCCTCAACTCCACTACAAACCCCAATGACAAAAAACCCCCAAAACACAAAACAACCAAACAACCTACTAAACTTCCCCCCAGAGAAAACCCCCAAAATACCACAAAACCAACCCACCCCAAAACACCAAAACTCCACTGCTTTCCTCTCCGCTACAAAGCCAGACGTCCCATCAGAAAAGTCACTCGGGACAGTCACAGGATTTGCAGTTGGTAAATCTATGCCAGCTGTTCCCAAGGACCCTCTTGTCCTTCCTGTGCCTAGAGGTGACTTCTAGGAGGGTTTGCTCCACAGAGAGTGAGGTTCAGTTGCCCTGTAGTTCCCTAGATCTTACTTCTTGCTCTTCCTGAAGGGCAGGGTGACATTCCCCTTCTTCCAGTCACCAAGAATCTCCCCTGGTTGTCAAGTCTTTTGAATGATGAGAGAGAACAGCCCCATAATGACATCAGCCAGCACACTTGGTGCACTTGGATGCCTCTCATTGCAGGATTATTTCTATTACTTCTGGATGTCAGTCTGCAGTTACAGAGACTACAGCTATGTTTTGCTAGTGCTTAGTACAGTATAAGCCTTTAAAGCAGTTGTGGTTTCTACTACCCACTGGATGACACATATATTAGAGTGCTTAGGAAATGAACACACTAAGTTTTATGGTCTACATATTTTTGAGAACAAATGTTTGGAAACTAATGCGAAGTGACACACAGACCAAGTTATACTGACTGATATTATTCGACCCATGTAGGATAACGGTGTTTTAAAAGTAGAATACTGACCAATATCACTTCGGAAGATTCTGTTTGGCAGTGTTGTCTACTACACTTAGCAACAAAATTCAAGATACTTTTTCTTTCTCCTTGCCAACATACTTCAGTAAATGTTTACACTAACAAATGATTAAAGTTCTCATGTATTTATATAAATGCTATACATTAGTATATATTCATGGTATGAAAGTCTCAAATCATATGAAGCCATAACAGGAACTTGATTTAAAGGATCATTTACCATAGATGTGACATAGGTACTTACAATAAATTCCTGATCCTGCAAACTAATGTAAAAAAGTTTGAGCTATACTTGCAAACTGCAAGACAGAAAAATTAATTGCATCTTGGATCCTCTTAACTCTTCCAGCAATTACTTTTTCAAAAGTATGACACCCTTTTTGAATTTTGGTTAGATTAATTTATATTTTAAAAAAGTAAAACGTGTTCTCTCTCTCACTTCCATACTAAGTTGTAATCAGAGCTTAAATGAACTGTGATGCAAAGAGCTAAAGAAATGCCTTACCAAGCTCAATGCAGAAGAGTTAAAGAAACAGCTTGGTTCCATCTCAATGTAAAAGTGTTATTAAGTTTTAAAAATTTTACGTTTTATACATTTTTTCCCCAAAAAGTGCATCTAATTTCTCTTTATATATTTTACAAAATCAAATCAGAGCTGAATCACAGTGAAAAAATTACAAGCATTGCAAATAAGAACTTTTCTTAATTACTTCTACAATAAAATAACAACACACTGTGGGTTTGTATATAATTAAAAACCAAAAACACCCCCTTCCTTCCTACAACAAAATATATGCACACACTTCTGCTACCACCTTTCACATTAATTTTTAGGGTTACTTCAGAGATTTTATCAAAACCTCCATACTTAAACTAAGAATTCTGGCCCAGATACTTATCTGGGCCTTAGTAACATCAAGGCAAATTTTATGTAACAATCCTCTGTCATCTGTTTTATATTTAGATGTGAAGTCTGATAGAAGAACCTAATAGCCATATGACTAACAGTGGCTTTCCATTTTATTTTGCATGGTTAAGAAAATGGAAGCTGCAAGAGGATTTACTCAAAGTTTTAATTTTCCAAAGTCATGCATCTGACAGATGAAACTGATGAAACCATTTAGGACATAGAATTTGCTTATTTAGCTAAATCCCTTGCATAAATGTCTCAAAACCAGAACTGCTCCTTTTGCAGAAAATGTTTTGCCATAAAGGTGAAGGAAGTTTACTACCTGTGACTGTTGTAGGGTTTAAGTTTTACAATTTGTATCAAACAGTTTATTTTGTTCACTTGTGCTACTATATTGTAAGCAAAGTATTTTGATATGAGGATTTTTTCAAGAAAAGGAATAAGAAAGCTTGCAATCGTACTAAAAGTTTCATTTAAATTATTCCTTTTTCTTACGGTATTAATATAAAAGAAAAAAGTTTGAGAGTTCCCAATAAAAAGCATGCATCACATAGAGCCAAGTAATCATTAAATATCAAAGCAAGCATAAAAGGTTTCTCTCTACCACAAAGCAAACTCTTGTCCTTGCTTATAAAAGAGGTCATTCTACCCCTATAGGGACCTCTGTTCCTAACAGCTTACTGCTAGAGCATAAACTAGCAGCCCTGTCTCGCTCGTTTTCTAGCTATAGCACGTTAGCAAAGGGGAGAGGAAGGAGGGGAAGGGAAGGGAACAGTATAATAGGTCACTTGCTGCTGCAAACAGCATGATAGCTAAACTCATTATGAGTCCAGCTTCATTCTGCTAGAACAAGAGACTCAAAAGGGCGTGAAGACAGTTAGGCCGCAGAAGTTTGCTCAGTGCCAACACTGCAGCATTATGCATCTTGCTTTCAAGAAGGATTAATGATACCATACATCATGATGATAAATTGGGGTTTGTAGCCAGTTTGAAGAGAAAGGGGAGGAAAGGATTTTTTTTTAAAAGGAGGTAAAAAACCAGTTGAATTTCATGAGTTGGTCCTATTTTTCAGGTTGAGGAAGTTGTTCTTTAGGAGAGAGGTCTGTGCTTTTTCTATTGGTCATCTGCCTGTGACCCTCCTATTTCCAGGCATGTGTGTTATCTACACAATGGCCTGTTTTGAAGGTTAGCTCTTGCACAAATGAAAAAATAAAATAAATTTTTTAAAATTTGCACTTAATCATTACACTTGCCAGCTGAAAGGAGATAAAACTAAACTTTGCCATTCCATATAGAGACATCCTACAAGAATTCAGTTGGTTTTCACAGACTATGGACATCTATTGTCTGAGTTAACAGAATAAAAGTCTTATATGTATTAATGATCAGAGACATAATTGCTTGATGTTAATTAGTTCTTTGCTGAACCAAGAACATTATTCCAGGAGCAAGTTAATGATAGGCAATGGTACCTGCATCAAGAAAATAAAGCATAAGGGGGTGGGTGACCATAGGGAACAGATTTGCAAAAAGAGACCTAAATACAGCAGAAAGCTATTTTAGAAAACACAGGCATGAGTTTAGAATTGTTCTGCACCCCTGAACACAGCACACAGATATGCAGGTCCCTGAAGTGTGGAATTATTGTTCTCTGCTGTATGCCTCACAAATACGCTTTCTGAACTATCGACACGCTCATGTTGTTCTGGTACTACAAGCAGACAGAGAATATTCGACCCTCCACCAGAAGGGTCAGTCCAGCACCCTGTAGAAATACTCTTTAGCTACTGAAAAGAGAAAGAGCAAAATTTCCATACGCTTAAAAACTGAAGAACTAAAATTTGTTATTTCTATGCCTATTGTCAAAACACATATGAAAAACCTGCATTGAGCTCTGAATTCAAAATGAGGCATACAAGAAATCTTGTTTATGACTTTGAAATTCATTGGGAAAAAGAGAGTAACGTGCCACTCATTATAACATACGCTCGCTGTTTTAAACCCAAAACATAGGCTATCGTTCTGCTGTAGATGAAGTATCAGATGCAAAAGGTCACACACTACACAAATTCAAGGAAATGGTCACGAGCTGTAGGCATATTACAGGATGCAGTGCTAATTAATGGAGGCTTTTTACTGAGTATCCATCTCTGTAGTGCTAATGAGTTTGGATTAATTTAAACAACATGTTTTTGTGGAAACTGATTAATTCTTGGGAAGTAACGTGGCATACCAAGTTTCAGTCATTAAAAATGTTTGTAGCCAAGCTAAATAACCCTCTGAATCTGAGTATATTATCATATAATCTTCTACAGAAAGAGAATAACTTACAAATTCTAGAATAGCAGCTTGCAAACAAGCTACCAGGGTGCGTTAGAGGTAGTTGACATGGAAATTCATAGAGCATTCTGCTGCCCAAATTTCTTGCATTTTCAAGATTTGAATCCTATAGTCCTACTTCATTCAATGT